AGAGGTTGCAGAAAGCTGAGATTGTGCCATTGCACTCCAGCCTGGGCAACAGAGTGAGACTATGTCTCCAAAAAAAAAAATTACTTTTGTTTAAATGGTCAATTTGCTTTAACATTTGCGTACATATTTATCCTTTCCATCGTGCTTCTTTTGGTTCCATACTCCCATCTGGGGTCATTTTCCTTTGGGCTGAATTACTTCCTTTAGTATTTCTTTTTGTAACACGTCGGCTGGTGCCAAATTCTTTCAGCTTTTGTCTGAAAATGCTTTCTTATGCCTTCATTGTTGAGAATATTTATACTAAGAAGTAATTCTGGCCAGGTGCGGTGTCTCATGCCTGTAATCCCAGCACTTTGAGAGGCTGAGGTGGGTGAATCACAAGGTCGGGAGTTTGAGACCAACCTGGTCAACATGGTGAAACCCCATCTCTATCAGAAATTTAAAAAATTAGCTGGGTGTGGTGGAGGGCACCTGTAATCTCAGCTATTCGGGAGGTTGGGGCAGGAGAATCACTTGAACCTGGAGGCAGAGGTTGCAGTGAGCCGAGATCGTGCCACTGCACTCCAGCCCTGGTGGCAGTGCGAGACTCCGTCTTAAAAACCAACCAACCAAACCAACCCAGTACTTTACAGATTCATTCCTCGGGCTTCTGGCTGCCAAGATTCCTGCTAAAAAGTCAGGCACTGGGTTTTATTGTTATTTCTCCAAAGGTTATGTGCTATTTCTCTGTGGCTATCTTTAGGACTTTTCTGTCTGTGGTTTTCAGCAGTTTGACTATGCTATTCTTCAGTGTGGTTTCTGTTTTTATTTCACATGGACTCTACTGAGTTTTACATATTTGTGGTTTGATGTCTTTCCTCGAGTTTGAAAAGTTCTCATTAAATTATTTAATCAAATATTATTGTGTCATATTCCCTTTCCTTCTGGGACCCCAATTACACGTTTAGACTATGTCCCACATGACTGTTCTTATTTTTGTTGTCTTGCATCTTGCATTCTTTTTACTCTCTTCACTTCAGTTTGGATAGCCTCTGACCTATCTTCAAGCACTATTCCTATTGTCTGCTGTGTCCATTCTGCTATGAAACCCATCTAATGAATTCTTGGTTTCAAATGTGTTTAACTCCCTTTTTAAACAACGGCTTTACTGGGGTGTAATTTACAAACCATATAATTCACCCACTTTAGGTGAACAAAATTAAATGATTTTTAATAAATTTATAAAGTTGAGCATGCACCCACACAATTCATTTTTCTTCTGTTTTTTTTTTTTTTTTTTTTTTTTAAGGGTTTTGAGACAGAGTCTCAGTCTACCACTCAGGCTGGAGTACAGAGGCACAATCATGGTTGACTGCAGCCTCATCCTCCTGGGCCCAACAGACCCTCCTGTCTTAGCCTTCTGAGTAGCCGGAACTACAGGTACATGCTACCACATCCAGCTAATTTTATTTTTTTGTGAAGATGGAGTCTTGCCATGTTTCTTGGGCTGGTCTTGAACTCCTGGCCTCAAGCAATCCTCTTGCCTCAGCCTCCCAAAGTGCTGCAATTACAGGCGTGCGCTACTGCCCCCAGCCCTATTTTTTTCCTTTTTTAATAATATATTTTGGATATTTAAATTGAATTTTAATTCAAACACAAGGAAGAAATCCAAATCACTTTGCCAAACAATCTGTCAATACATCAAATATCCATAACTTTAGGACAAATTGCCCCTTTACATTTTTTTTTGAGATATAGTTTATATACCATAAAGCTCACAAAGTGTACAATTCATTTTTTGTATATTCACAGTTGTGCAACCATTCCCACTAATTATAGAACATTTTCATCACCCCCAAAAGAAATCCCACACCCACTGGCAGTTCCTCTCCTGCTCAGCCCTTGGCAACCACTGTCTCTATAGATTTGTCTATTCTGGACATTTACAAGTGGAATCATACAGGGTGTGGCCTCTGGGATCTGGCTTTCTTCACTGAGTATGTACTTTCTTTTTAAGGCTCAATAGTATTCCATTATATGGATATGCATTTTGTTTATCCATTCATTAGATGAACATCTGGGTTATTTCCACTTTTTTGGCCATTATGAATAATACTGCTATGAACATTCATGTATAAGAGCTGTAGACATTTTCAATCCTCCTAAACTTAGTAGAATTGCTGGGTCATACAGTGGTTCTACGTTTAACTTTTTGAGGAGCTGCCAAACTGTTTTCCAAAGTGTCTGTACCATCACCCACTGCCACTAGCAATGTACGAAGTCCCATTTCTCCACATCCTTGACAACACTTGTTACTGTCTACCTTCTTGATTATGGCCATTCTAGTAGGTGTGAAGTGGTATCTCATTGTAGTTTTTGTTTGCACTTCTCTAATGATAAAATTCTTTGTATGTGCTTATTGACTATTTGCAAACCTATTTTAGAGAAATGTCAATTGAAATTTTTTGCCAATTTTTTAATTGGGTTGTCTTAAGTTGTAAGAATTCTTCATATTTTCTAGACACTATACTATTATTTACAATCCATTTTTAGAACAATTCCATTGCACCATAAAGGTTCCTCTTGCCTGTTTGCAGTCAATTCCCTCAAGCGACTTAGTGCCAGGTGACCAATGAAGATGTTTTCTGTGGGTTCTGGGCAGGTCCCTCCTTCTGATGAAAATGTATCTCCTAGGCAGTGAGAGACTGTGGAGGATTTTGCTCAGCTTTTTAGAAGCCCTACACTTAGCTTTTAGCATGCAACGGGCAGCTCTAGAGTTCAGCAAATATCCAATAAGAAAATCAGTCTGTATTTGGGGTGTCTCAGGTTTCCCAGTATGCCCTATAACCAAGAGCATTGTAAATCTCTTTTTTTTCCAACAGAGCCCTGCTGTACAGGCCAACCCCAATCCTTTACTCCTTGTTGCCTGCACAGTATTCTGGTGTTTAAAATATTATTTTTTGAGACAGAGTTTTGCTCTTGTTGCCCAGGCTAGAGTGCAGTGGCATGATCTTGGCTCACTGCAACCTCTGAACCTCTGCCTCCTGGGTTCAAGCAATTCTTCTGCCTCAGCCTCTCAAGTAGCTGGGATTACAGGTGTCCGCCACAACACCCAGCTAATTTTTTGTATTTTTAGTAGAAATGGGGTTTCATTATGTTGACCAGGCTGCTCTCAAACTCCTGACCTCATGATCTGCCCGTGCCTCGGCCTCCCAGAGTGCTGGAATTACATGTGTGAGCCACCGGGCCCAGCCTATTTTGGTGTTTTAATAGTTTTTTATGGTTGTTGCAGCAGTATTGTGTTGCTGTGACCTATACCTATCCTCGATTAATGTAAGTTTTTAATAAGTCTTGATATCTTGTCAGACAAGTTCTCTTTCTTTTCCCATCTTCAGGTATATGTTGGCTATTTGGGGGCCATAACTCTTCCACATAAATTTTTGAATCCATTTATCTAGTTTCCAAAAACACCTGTTAGGAACTTGTTGAAAACTATATTTATAGTCAGAATTTTAATTTTCATGCTTTTGAGTTCTCCATCCATGAATATGGTATGTCTATCCTAAATTTCTGTTAGGCCTTTCAATAATGTCTTGTACTTTTCTCCTAAAGAATTGCACTTAAAAAAAAAAAAAGGTACAGGGTCTTGCTCTGTGACCCAGGCTGGAGTGCAGTGGCACAATCATAGTTCACTGCAGCCTCAAACTCCTTGGCTCAAGAGTTCCTCCTTCCTCAGCCTCCTAGGACTATAGACTAGGACTATAGACTCATGCCACCACACTTGGCTATTTTTTTTTTTTTTTTTTTCTGTAGAGACAGGGTCTTCCTGTGTTGCCCAGACTGGTCTTGAATGCCCGGCCTCATGTAATCCTCCCACCTTGGCCTCGCTAAGTGCTGGGATTACAGGTATGAGCCACCATGGTTGGCTAGGAATTGCACATTGTTTGATTTGATTCTAAATTGCTTAGGAACTTTTTTTTTAAAAAAAGCACTTTTTGTTTATTAGAATAGGTAACATATTTACTAATTTCTAAAAACTTAAAAGTATACACTGATAATTTCCCACCCATTTACCTCTGACACACAATTCTCCTCCAGAAGAAAACAATGTTACCAATTTTTCTATTAGTTTTTAATGTGTTTACTATATGTATATTGGAGTTATATTAAATTTTGTTCCTCAATCTGGTACTAGAAATCCAGCTGAATTATTTTTAATATTTGTAAGTTATTTTGGATTTTATATACACACATCACCACCACCATCATCAACATCACCTGCAATGGGCAGTCATTTTGTTGCTGCTTTTCCGAAAAATTCCTTATTCCTTTCACTGATGTTACTGCATTTACTAGGACATCTAAATAAAGTAGCTGTGAAAGTAGCTGGATAGCAGCTGTGATAGAGGGCAATCTTGTCTTATTCTTGACTTTAATGAGATTACTTCTGTGTCATTTGCTATAGGTTCTCAATTGAAGTCTTTATCAAGTTTAAAAAAAAAAAAAAAAAAAAGGCCGGGCACAGTGGCTCACATAATCCCAGCACTTTGGGAGGCCGAACTAGAAAGATCACCTGAGGTCAGGAGTTTGAGACCAGCCTGACCGACATGGAGAAACCCTGCCTCTACTAAAAATACAAAATTAGCCACGCTGCTGGTGCATGCCTGTAATCCTAGCTACTCGGGGGGATGAGGCAGGAGAATCGCTTGAATCCGGAAGGTGGAGGCTGCAGTGAGCCAAGATCACGCCATTGCACTCCTGCCTGGGCAACAAAAGAGAGATCTTAAAAAAAAAAAAAAAAAAAAAAAAAAAAAGTTACCTCTGGTCCTATTTTGCCAAGAATGAGTAACCTAAGTATTTTAATCAAGTTATTTTCTGTACCTATTTAAATGATCCTATGGTTTTTCTCCTTTAACCTATTAAACATGCTGAATCACCCATAGGAAAAAAAAGTAGTCTCAAAACACTTTTACCCCAAGTTGTTATTTATTTTTATGAGAGGTGGAAAAAAGAATCCTTTATGATAGTGAAAATATACTTTATTTTCAATACAATAGCTGCCAGCAATATACTGCTGCTGATGTTCTAAAGAGGAAAGAAAACACATGCATTCTATAATAAGCTTTCATTTACCTGTTCAAGAAATTCTAAAGAAAATAATCCAATTCTATTCAACATTATGGCTTGAGGAGTTTAAATTTTTCCATGATAAAAATATAATTTGTGTGGCCCAAACCTTGACTATTTATAAAGGATGGAGTTTTTAAAAGCCCACATATATCAATAATGAATGCTCCCCTCTCTTTGCATTAAATGCTTAATTCAAATTAATGTAAGAAATTGGTGAATCATTAAATGATGAAATTTGTATCAAAATGTTCATGAAAAAATACATTTCTATTTCCTCTCCATTTTTATTTTGTAGACATTTTCTAAATGAGTTTAAGTTCACAGAAATAAACGCTATCTACATGCAACTCTGGAGAGATTCAAAACACAACAGAAGTAAAGTTAAAGCCTAAATCCTAGAGTTGATCCATGTAGTATGTCAGAAATCTCTCCATTGTATACAGATTGCTCGAAGATTTAAAGATAAATTGTAAAAGCCAAAATTACCAAGAAATAAAATCTTACTTGAGTTTTATCACAAAAATTAACAGTCCTAGGAAGACAATAGAACTGTATAGAAAATCCACATCTACATCAAAAAAGGGAGTTTTATCAACTAGAAGAGAGCTTTCCATTGTCGAATACAAAAATTTCTCAAAATCCCTTGACTTTCCATTGAGACTCCAATCTCTTCATTGAAGTAAAACACAAAAGGGGTCTAAATGAAGGGGAATGGATTTGTTATTTGTAAAAATAAAATTAGATTATTTCCATTATGTCAATTCATATATTGCATGAACTGTCTACCATGAAAACTTTTATGTCCCAAATTTCTCAAGATTTTAAACTATGCTGTTTCCAAACATAAGCATATTGTTGGATCCTCCTTTTTACTAGCTAGCTTTTGTCCATTTACCAATTTCCATTTCATTTTACTAACTTCCCTGAAAAAGTAGTATCTGTCTTTCTACAGAGAAAAATGATTCTGGCTTCATCAAAATCACAATAGACATGCCTTCTTTGAATATTTAGAGGGATGGCCAAGTGTCACTGGGTTAATAAAAACAAGAGAACTCCAAAATGAAAATATTTTAAGTTTCAGAATGAATTTTCATCACTCTATTTTAAAGAATAGAGCTCTTTCCTCTGTTAGCCCTCTACTCTGCACCAGTTGGTCCACCATTCACTGGAAAGAACAAACCTCACTTTGCTTGAATCTTTTTCATACTTTAAGCTATGAGGCAAGGTTCAGTATCACCTGAATGAAGGCCAAGTTGCCACTATTTAAAAAGTAGGTGAAGAGTGGTAATGCCTGCCTGTGTACTAGGGCAGATGGGACACTTTCACCCACTAAAACCACTGCAAAATAATTTCTCAATAGATAACTGTATAGTGCTACTTCCTTGAACCAGATAAATCATCATACAATATTTAATTACCTAAAAAAAAAAAAAAGTGGGTGCTTAAACTTTTGATCAACAATAGAGTTCTAGAAAGGTAAGGCAAAGAATCTCCCTGAGCCAAATCGATACAACATGGAGATTTTCTTATCTTTCTGTACTAAGCAAATTACTTCAAAAAAAAAAAAAAAATGCAGTACACTTATAAAAAGCTGCTTCCATAAAGCCAGTGCTTACTAAATGTTCGCATATCAAAGTGGAGGAGTGGGGAAACACTGCCATTTTAAAGCAATAAACTTAAAATTTCAAAAAACAGCCTATGAGAAATAGCACTTCCTATACAAGGAAGTTAGGCATAAAAAAATTACCAAAAAATGTATTATAGTCTTAATCACGTTCTTCAGAGCAGTACTTAGAAAGTCTGGTTTTGTTTTTTTCTTTTAAAAAAAAGAGTAAACACAAGGCAAAGTTTTATTTTCAGCAAGTTCATCCCCTCTTGTTAGAGTACAAATAATTCCTGATTTAGGGCTTCAATTTTAAAAAACAAAAAAACAACAAAAAAAGCAAAAACATGGAAGAGTGCTATTCCTCAACATGGCTGTAGAAAAATTTAACTCAAGGAAGTGCAATGTGTGAGATCAGGCAAAACTGCAGTAAATATACACTCACCATTACTATAACTTAGTCCAAAAGGAATGAACAACCCTCTCTACAAGGTAAATGGGGTGAAATGAGAAAGCTGGTGATCTGTTGTTTTATCTTTTCTTTTTTTTACATAAAATGGATAATGTGTTTAGATCACCTATATTAAATGTGCTTTAGAAACAAAAATTTACTTGTTATTTTGACAAACCCACCCTTCATTCCTTAGGTTAATTTCTGTGTTAATTTTTACATTACTAATCATTGTACTGCTATAGCTAAATCAACTAAATGTCAGTATATGTAGTGTTGCTCAAAAGATGTACTAATAGCAAGCTCTATGATTACCTAAAAACAAGTTTTTAAAATCAAGGAAGAAAGCAATAATGTTCCAAATGAATGGCACAGGGCAAAACACATATAACAAACATATTTAGACAGATAGGTATCAGGTGCCCATCAGTTCCTCTTATAAAGATAAAATGCTTGAGGAAGGTCTGGAGAAAACCCTCCCTCCCTCTAAACATTTAGCTTCTACATGGTGTCAAACGTTGCAATTGGTATGAAGGATAAATGCTTTTAGGCAAAAGTAAAAATCTATCTACAAAGCAATATAGCCAAATCTGTAGTGACTTTTGCAGAAAGCTCTCTTCTTTGATGGTAATATTCTTTAGTACACATCCAGGATAGACTAAATTGAAATAATATTTCTGATACAGTAGCAATCCTTTCATATACTCTTACTAAATATTATAAAACTCCAAAAAATACATAAATATTCCTTGTACCATGCATCATACACCAGTTTGGGGCTACCTGATAAAGCCGTGGCTACTACTTTAACAATTAAACATTGCACCTCAAATTTCTGCCATCTATACACAGTAAATGGACACAATGGTGAGGGCTCTTGAGAGATGGCAAACTACCTCTAAAGTGAAAAGTTGTGGTGGAGTGTCTCCAAATTCAAAAGAGGGGAACCCGGGTAGGGGAGGTAGGCAGGATAAAAGGATTTTAAAATAATACTGCTTAGGAGTATATATTTTAAGATAACTACTATACCTGGTCTATCCTTGATCCTAATCTTCAATAACTGCATGTTCGTGCAAAATACAATCTCTGCTCTATAGGAAGAGGAGTAGCCTGTTAGGAAAAGCATATTCTTAGGGGAAGACATGAAGACACCTCTTTCATAAATGCAGTTTTACTTGGTGAGTCTTTTGGCTACATCACTATATGCTATTTCAACCTCCTTATCACTGGGACAGGTATTGGTGAACTCATCCCTACTGTATGCATTAGTTAGATATCTCCAGATGCCAGTCATTTCTTTTGGAATATCAAAGTTGCGATATTTTTTGGCCACCACCTGAAATACAAAGAGATCGAAAGTTAAAGACTTATTTTCCATGTTTTGTGAACTAGACATGTCTCTGATTTTAGAGCAAATAATTAAAGCTCTAAATCTTTGTGAACTACTTCTATTTGAAAAGAAGCCTGTCGCCATTATTCTAACTAGGGTTTTAAATAATGACCAACACTGCAAGCTACATCAGGGATTTAGAAGTGTGAAAGTGACTGCAAATAACTGCTCGGACACCATGAAAGACAGCCAAGTGTAATCACTGGGAAATACTTCACAACACACATACGCTATTTTAGATCTGCTTTTCTTATCTGAGGTCTTATTTACAACTAGTGCTTATTTACAACTTATTTACAACTAGTGCTTATTGTTATTCTATTTAACAACGTGTCCACCCGTGTCTCATATAATAAATGCTCGATACTTTTTGCCTTGAATAGAGAAAGCCAGATGTGATCATAGAATTTGACAACAGAAGTCAGTGTGGCAAACTCCAATTCAAAGTAATGCATTACATCTTTGAATTTTTATGCAGTCACAGAAAAAAAAAATATTCATCTTTCTCTTTTCCTAAATTTTAAGACATAATTTTTCATCTAACTCTAGGGTGTTTGAACTATTGCTTAAACAACATTGAGTTAAACAGCTAGTCATATATAAGACCAGAAATGTTTTGAGCATAAAGGTAATGCCACCTTAGTAAATACAATACAAGGTAATGGCAATGTGACATCATACCCTACAGACCCACCTTGACAATATGCAGTTTGGGCAGCAGGTTGCAATCAGCTAATGTCATTTCATTGCCATCCAGAAATTTACGTGTAGAAAACTTAATGTCCTCCATACTATTTTCATCAATTTCATCAGGGAGAGGAGAATTCAGATATTCATCCAGTTTCTGCAGGGTTTTCAGGAGGCCCCTCTCCAGTGCTTTGGGGGGAAAAAAAGATGAGAATACTGTAAGAAAGAAAACCATGCAAATCCCCAAAAAGAAGTGTGACTCTGAGTCAATAACTGTTTATCGAATGTTTACTCTGAGGCAAGGTACTGAAGAACAAAGCAGACAAGGCTCCTGCTCTCCCAGCACTTAATTATGTGGGCCGGGGGATGAAACAAGTTTGTTCAGGTAAATGTAGAAATAAGTATGATAATTTCACACAGTGGTATTTGTAAAATCTTGCTAAGAACTAAATGTCCCACACATGAATACATATGGCCCAACACAGTTGGCATTTAAACTAGAAAGTATGGATGAGAAAAGGCAAACATATTAATTCAAAACTAGGGATTAAAAAAATCTTACAGACAAGACTCTTGCCTTCATTTTTAATTCCTGCTTCCCCAGGAATATTTTGATTTATCAGCATGAAATGTGCTAAGAAATACCAATTCAGGTAGGAAAAGTAACTTCAGCCACAGCCCCAAAGCTAGTGAACCGAGCTGGAGCCATGGAGGGTCAGTGTGGAGGACGTGCTGGCAAAGGCTGAGCAGGACGAGGCAGAGAAGCTGCAGCGCATCACGGTGTACAAGGAGCTGGAAGTGGAGTCTGACCTGGACAACCTGCTAGCTTCGACCGGGACTCCCCGACAGGGCTGTGGTGACCCGGACCCACACTGGAGGCTGAGCTGCAGGCCCTGGCGCCTGACAACATGCAGCTGTTCACCAACAGGCTGTGGTAGCTGCCCACGGAGCACGTGGAAGAGGTGACAGTGGCACAGCTGCCTGAGCCCACCACACACCTGCCACAAGAGAAGCCTCTGCCCTGGCTGCGGCCACTTACATGCTGGCAGCAGTTCGCATGCCTCAAGGGCATCTGTCCCAAGAAGACGACCAACCTGGTGTGGGACGAGGTGAGCAGCCAGTGGCAGTGGCGCTGGGGATACCAGTGTGCCCAGGATAACGCCAAGGAATGGTTTATTGAGGTGCCCAGCAATGCCGACCCCTTGGAGGTCTAGTTTGTCAAGCGGATTCAGGCCGAAGGAAGGGGTGGCCAAAAACGAGCTGAACCGGCTGCGTAACTTGGCTCGCCCGCCCAAGATGCAGCTGCCCAGTGCAGTCGGTTTGCACCTTACCGGACACTAGAGTAAGGAGGAGCTGGGCCACGCCATGCAAGTGGCCAAGGTCTTCACAGCCTCTGTGGGGCACTTCCAGGAGTGCCTCCCCAAGGAGAAGGTGCTCTGGGGCTCCAGCAAGAAGAGGAATTTTCAACCCCTTTTCAGGGACTTTGCAGCAGAGAAAAAGAACCAGTTGGAGCTGCTTCGTGTCATGAACAGCAGGAAGCCTCAGCTGGATGTGACGAGGGCCACCAATAAGCAGATGTGGGAGGAGGACCAGGAGGAGGCTGCCAAGGGGAAGAAAATGAGCCAGAAGGGCAAGAGAAAGGGAGACCAGCAGGGACCTGGGGGCAAGAGGAAAGGGGGCCCATCAAGCCAGGGAGGGAAAAGGAAGGGAGGCTTGAGAGGCAAGATGAATTCCGGGCCACCTGGCTTTGGTGGCAAGAGAAAAGAAGGACAGTATCCAGGAGGAAAGAGGAGGAAATAATCGTTTCTTGCCGTCAGATCCATCTGTAAACCAAGAACTATTTCTTAGCTGGGCGCAGTGGTGCGTGCCTGTAGTCCCACCTACTCGGGAGGCTGAGGTGGGAGGATCGCTTGAGCCCAGGAGTTCTGGGCTGTAATGCCTTATGCCAATTGGGTGTCCGTACTAAGTTCGGCATCGATATGGTGACCTCCAGGGAGCGGGGGACCACCAGGTTGCCTAAGGAGGGGTGAACCGGCCCAGGTCGGAAACGGAGCAGGTCAAAACTCCCATGCTGATCAGTAGTGGGATCATGCCTGTGAACAGCCACTGCCCTCCAGCCTGGGCAACATAGCGAGACCCCAGCTCTTTAAAAAAAAAAAAAAAAAAAAAAAGAACTATAAATACTGAATGTTAAGTTCTAGGCACTTGTATGGGGACTCAGAAGGACCTGGCTGGTGCCTTCATTGAGCTTGAAGGGACAGGATTGCACTCCCCTCAAGAGTATGTAAGCGTTGGACTGCACAAATTAATATTTTTCCCACAACCAAGACTTTGGCTGGAGATTAAGAACTTATGTGAGGATTTTAAGAATTAGGGAAATAATTTGGTGGAAATCAGGAATGAGCTCTATTCTTAAACAGCCTTTTTTCTTCTTTTCAACTTTGGATATAGGGTGGGGGAGAGTTGGTCATATTTCACAGACTTAGATTGGCGTAAATGTTTCTACATTATTTTTACAACAAGCTTGTACATCAGAGTGGGGGAAGAAAAGACAAACATTTCAGAATTCGATAGTCAAGTGACTGTTTAAAAGGTTAAATAATAAAGATGTCTTATCTATTTAAAAAAAGAAAGAAAAGAAAAAGGAAATACCAATTCAAACAATCCAAACAGAAAGCCTGGGATTTTCAAAACTGTCTTATAATACACAGGAAGCCAAGAATAGCACTATCTTATACAAAAAGCACAAAGGTCAGATTAACGGGCTCAGTTGACAATACTGAACTGGGAGCCTCTTTAGCCAAGTAGATTAGGAAGCTCTGGTGGGACAGAGCACCACTGTATATCTGAAAAGTCAAAGTTAGTGGCCCTCAGCAGAATGGGGGTGGGAATGTCATTAAAAACACGGAATAGCAACAGACAGATCTTCTATTATCCTTGCTTATCCTTTACATCCAATCCACCTTCCCCCTCACTCTCAGAATAGATGAACTCACACTGATGATTGCGGTAACTGGCCATAAAAGAAAGTTAATTACCATGGGGTGGCAAACCATGTAGTTAAGTCTAATTCAGTTGTGTCCTTAAAGGAAAAAGGTAAAGGTTTACATGCTGCATCTTAGACATCTTACCAGCAATGTAAATATGTCCTAATCCCATACCTCTTCTTGCAAATTGCAGCCACCCACTCATCCCTTGGTCCCTTCATGGTAGTCAAGGTAATAGATGGTAGTCTTAGTTAGGTAAGGGGCTACAGGCACAAGGAATGAATGGATTGTAGGAGATAAAAACTAATGGAGTTCAGAAATCAAAATGAATATGGAGAAGAGGGGGGGAGATGCATTTGACAAAATATAAATTGAGCCCCTACCACATGCCAAGTCTTATTCTAAGGACTATTAAATTCACTGTTGAATAAAGTATAATAGGTTTCTGCCCTCAGAGAGTTTAAATCTTGGGGACAGAGGGCAGTACAGAGAAGCTGGTCAACAAACTAAAGACTCCAAGGGTGAATGCTGGTGTCATTTACTGAGCCATTTACCTTCCCAAAGAGAAACAGTTTTAGGGGATATGGAGATGAGTTCAGTTAACATGCTGAGTTTGAGGTACCTGTAAGGCATGTGAGTAGGGATGTCCAACAGACAAACAAACATGGTTTCAAGTGTCACAAACAGAGCTGGAGCAATGTGTTTAGAAGTTATGAGAACATAAACAATGAAACCATGGAGTAAAGGAGAAGCAGAAGGCCTACATAATGCCCTAAGGAACATCATTTAAAGGATAGGCAGAAGGAAGAGATTGCAGAGAAAACAGCATTTCATCATATTGGCCAGGCTAATCTCGAACTCCTGACCTCAAATGATCCACCTGCCTCTCAAAGTGCTGAGACTACAGGCATGAGTCACAGCACCCAGTCAGATTTTTGAATTTGTAAACAATCTTCCATTCCTGAGAAACCCAACTTGGTTGTATTATCTTTTTTTATGTTGCTGGATTTGGCATATTTTGTTTCAGACTTTTGCGCCTATATTCGAGAAAGATTGGCTTGAAATTGTCCTTTCTTTTGATGTTCTTGTACAGTTTTGGTATCAAGGCTGCCTGCCCTAAAAAAGCAAGTTAGAAAGTATTCCCTCTTTTCTGTTCCCTGGGAAAGTATATGCAAGTATGATCTTACTTCTTCCTCAAATGCTTAGAAGAGTTCAACAGTGAAGCTATCTGGGTCTAGAGTTTTCCTTTTAATTACAAGAAACTTAAATGATAATATAAGAATATTCACATTTTTAATTCCTCCTTGTGTCAATTTTGTTACACTATACTTTCTGTAAATTTCTCCAATGTTTTGAAAATTATAAACATAAAATTTTTCAAAATATCCTCCAAAAATCATTTTAATGTAAGATCTGTAGTAATCCTCCTTTTTATTCCTAATATTGGTTTTTGCTGTCTTCTCTCATTTTTCTTCATCTTTCTTGTCAAGGACTTATGAATTTTTTATTTGTTAGACTTTTCCAAAACCAGCTTCTGGTTTCCCTGTTCAATGTCATGTTTGTTTTCTACTTCATTATATTCTGCTCTTCAGTATTTCCTTCCTTTTAACTTCTCAGGTTTAATTTGCTAATCTTTTTCTAAGTTTTAGATCAGCAATATTTAGCTCTCTTTTAATATAGACTTTTGGAACTATAAAATTCCCTCTAAGCACAGTTTTAGTCATATCTCACAAATGTAGGCATTCTGTATTTTCATCTTTTTATTCTTTTTCAATTTGTGGATTATTTATAAATATACTAGTTAATTTTCAAACATGTAGAAACTTTCTAGCTGTAGTCTTGTTTTTCCGTTTTTGAGACAAGGTTTTACTCCTGACACCCAGGCTGGAGTGCAATGGCATGATCTCGGCTCATTGTGTGTGTTTCATATATATCTATACACACACACACACACACACACACACACACACACACACACACACAGTCTTACACACAAGCAACATTGTTTTTAATCCAGTTGGCAAACTTTGTTTTTATTTGGAATATTTAAATAATGTATATTCAATGTCATTACTAAAAACTCTGGTTAAATCTGCCATCATACTTCTTATTTGTCCACCTGTTCTGTGGACATCCTTGCCCACCTGTTCTGTTCTTTTCTTCTCTCCTAACTTCCTTTGGATTACATTTTTTTAAATTATT